GAAAGACGGGACTATAGGAAAGGAATAGTAGCCAATAAGAATGATGGAAAGAAGGATAACAATAAAAGAAAGAATGAGACCAAGAAATGCAGCTTGGATAAGATGCAGGAAGCAGGAAAGCAGAACGTGGCAGTTCAGGTAAGCCTTTAGATCAAAGGGATACTGCGTCTTAGGCAGTATGATGTTTGTGTCGGGGCCGTCGCTACTTGTGTAGAGTACAGTAGAGTTGAGGTCTCACTGTGGGCCCTGCAGGTACAGCTAATGCACAAAAAAACCACAAACACATCTATCTCAAAGACCAGGGATTAGTTATCTTTGGGTCTCTGCCCTTGTCCTTGATGCTGTCTCAATTTGTTGGGGAGGAAAAGGTAGGGAGCAATGAAAGGTGATTTTGCTATGTTAACTGTCGTCAAAAACAGACTTCTACCTGTTGTTGCACAAATTATTTGGGCTACTGAGGCAGTTTGCGTGGCCAGGTCTTAGTCATGCTCTTGGTCTGTTGTGAAGGAACTGGGTACTCTGCATTTTTGGTTCAGTTGACTTGTGCCCATTCAATAAATGAAACGCATCACAAAAGCACCCAGTTGTTTATGTGGAATAAGACCCTCCGTACTGTGTGTGCAGTCAGGTGGCCCTCTGTGGAAGTAAGGAAAGCCACACTGCGCTCAAACCGTAATTCTGTGCTCAGACGCTTGCTCAAAATTGTTTGTTTTCATATCAGCTGCTCTTTTCTCAGTCATATTTTTGAGGCATGCTTTTTCCCCCCCCTATTTCGGTGAGCATTATGTACAAAAATGCTCACCTTGTAAGTAGATAGTGAATTTACTGGTCTGACTTCCATTGAGTTGTAGTAAATAAGGGTGTAGAGTTTCGGGGTTGATCTGATCTGTACCTGGATAGTTTGGTTGCATCTCAGTCGTTCTCTGATGACATCTGGAGGCATTTAATGATAGTGATGGAGACTATTATTTCCCTAGAGAAACTGTCAGTTCTTCACTGTTCTTGCAAATGGAAATTATTTCCTAATTTACTTCATCTCCCTTGCCTCTGTGTAAGCCTATTACTGCTTCCCAGGACAGGTCCGCAGAATAACTTAAGTCCTTCTCTTTGCATCTGCTCTAAAGGCCTGTGTAATTGAGGTCTTGTTTTCCCTAGGCTAGACAAACCAGCTCTTTCAGTCTTTCCGGCTTGTGGTGTTAGGACCCTTGGATCATTCTTGTTCTCTTCCTGATTATTTGCTGTTAATCATTGTCGTTATGAAACGGAAGGTCTGAACTGGCAGTGTTATGCAGTTGGTTTTGCAGGGGGCCCTACCAAGCGGGGGTAAAGGGGAGTAGCCTACAGAAACCATGTAGCAATCATTCATGAGTCACTGAACAAGAGTCTGGTATCTGAAGAACAACTTAGGTAGGTGAGTTAGAATAGCAGGTCTCTTATTTGTTGAACACATATGGAATGTGGTTGCAGGCCTGAGCACAACTCCCAGTTTCAGTGTTTGTGCCCCTGTCTTGCAAAATAAGGAATTGAGGCCAGTAAAACTCGCCAGATCTTCTGAGAAGTATGTGTAGTGTTTTGGATAGGCAAGATATTTTAATTCTAACCCAGCTGATTTATCAGAAATTTGCTTGTCTTAGTCTTAAGAGATAACAAACCCAGGGAAAACTTATTTAAAACCCAGCTGTAGTGGATTCGCTTCTGATGTGTTTGGTCACTCTTCATCTCTTGTGGAATAGAAATCAATTTTGACTTTTTAGTTCATCAGCTGTATTTGCTATGGCAACCATTCCAATGAAATACCTTTTGTTTTATATAGTTTGGTGGACTTCTTTATCCAGACCTATTCCAGAAGATGGGAAAGGTTTGCTTCCCCCCAGCTGAGGAGACACCAGTGTAGGTTTTGCACCGACGGGTGGTCTGTTAGCGCTCTGCTTTGGTCTTCCTTGATACTTAAGGCTTTTATCTTCTCCATACCTCATTGCCTTCCAAAGCCCAAATGCTGCAAATGTTGCAGTTCCTACTTAGCAAAAATGTTAAGAATGTTATATGGAAGTAATTAGTCCTGTTTGGCAAATAAGTGGAAAACTTCCATGCTCAGACAGGATCATTAAAGTGTGGCATAGGTCGAATATCTGCTGTTTAGGGAAAATAGCATTAGGTGCTGAGGAAGGTTGCGTGCAGACTTGCTCAAGGTGTAACGTACTCTAAGAGGCCACTGTGATGAAATGGTGCTTCTCTCAGTTACTGTGTAGGAACCCTCAGGACCACTGCAGGCATAAATATTTGGTAGAATTGATGCTTTTGAGGTGAGGGCAATTAGAAATTAGAAATTTGTCTGTCTTGATTAATCAATTTTAGTTATTTAGCTTTTAAAAGTTAACTATAAATCATGCGGGGGTCTTTTGGAAGCCACTTTTGGAAATGTGTTATAGCAGCTTTGAGTTTATGATGGACTAGAGCTCATGTTTTGAAATGCCATGGTAGGAAGACTGTCTTTTGAATTCTCCAACATTGCTATAAAAGAATGCATACCTCTCAGTATGGGTTAAAAAATGTTTGGCTCATTGTGGAGAAAAAAGGGACAGCACGATGTAAGTTGAATATACACAATGTGATGAAGGGCGAAGGTGGGCAGTGAATAGGTGCGGCATGAGCAGGGGCTGCATCATTCGTGGTGCTTAGTATCAGCCAGAACCTTGAGGTGGAGTTCCCTCCTGACTTTTTCTAGCAGGAGATCAAAAATATACCCAAACCTCCCAGTCTTACAATCTACTTTTTTAATTAAATGCAAAAAACGGCGCACTCATAATTTGTAAATGGGGAAGTTCAGAATTATTTGAAAAAGAACTTAAGAAAGCGTTTGAGTGCATCTACCCCTTTACTACTGTATTTTGGCAGAAAAGACCTGCCCTCTAACTCTTTTCAACTCAGCAGCACTAAATATTGAAATAAATCCCACACAGTTTTAGTTTGTTTGGTTTGGATTTTTTTAATTTGGTCCCTGATAAAACCCTTTCTTTCAATCACCTTTGAGGCTTGGCGTCAGGTCTGCTCCTGGGCCCTTTCTGTATTGCCCGGGTTCCTTGCTTGCTGTCTTTTTCCTGCCTGCTCCATCTTGCATTCCAGGCAGTTCTGCTGAGCTGAACAGAAAGGGAAAGTAGTCTTCCCCTCTGTCTTCCTCTCCAGGAAGACCCAGACCGCAGCAGACTCAGACTCAGGTAAACATTACATTACATTCTTCTCTCTGCCTTTAACTGGTGCAGCTCTTTTAACAGAACATACAGCAGTTACACAGTAAACTGAAAGAGGTTAAGCGCTTCTGCTATTTGTCTTGTATGCTCTCGGTCAAAAGAATTTCATAGTATGCAGGAGTTTGTGCATATATGTCACCATATGGATTAGGCTGAAAGAGTTCTCTAGGAAAAAACATGGTAGTGTTTGTTTTTTAAGGTGCTGCAGGTAAGTAGCATGAGTTAGGTTGAAGCGGTGCCCTAGGAGAAGCATAATGGCATCTGCACTTTTTGTTTTTAAGGCACTGGAGGTGAGCAGCAAGGTAAGTTCTTTGTATGGTCTGAGGATATTATGTCCACTTCCCACTCTCTCGCTAGAGAAGGAGCCTGTTGCAGTCTTCTGGGTAGATATCCTTAGAGAGCTTTTGTGAAGCTAGGAGTGCCTGGGGACAGGCAGGGTAACCTGCCTGAGGTCAGTGAGGAGGGAACTGAGTTCCTGTGTTCCAAACCTTTCCCAGTTACTTAGGGAAAAGAAAATAATCTCTCAGACAATCTGGGAGCTCATTTTTTGGCTTGAGACATGATGTGGATAATTACAGGAAAAGTTACCTAATTTCTTCTTTCTTTTGCATTAGGTGAAATCCCAGATGGAGATGAGGAAGACTCCGGTGTCTGAAGCCAGGAAAACACCTGTAACTCAGACTCCAAGTCAGGCCAGCAGTTCTCAGTTCATCCCCATTCATCACCCAGGAGCCTTCCCTCCCCTTCCTAGCCGACCAGGTAATTTGCGTCATTCTTTTGAAGTGTGATTTACTGTTGACTGCAAAGAAAATACTGTAATAGTGGTTGTTACAGCCTCTGAAGGTAGAGCTGTTTTAATGAGCATGCATTCTCACATTGAGAATCTTACGAAGTAGTAAAGAAGGGGCAGAGCAGAACTGAAGTGAGAGAAACAAGTTTCCTAATGCTTCGGAGTCAAGGTCTGTCATGAAATCTGCCACATTCCTTCTTGGTTCGTGGGTATGAGATCAAGGAACTTCACAGCAGGCTGTTTCTGTAGTTAGTCAAAACGTGACAAAGTGTTCTGCCAGCTCAGGAGGAAGCATTCTCTGTGCATAGGACTCCATTACAAAAGGTGAATCACACTGCTTTCTTCTTTAAAGCTCCGTTTCTTTTGTAGTGGTGCTCATGTTTCAAGCTGTAATTTGTGAGGTCTTATTTATTGTTGGTCCTGCATTGCATGTTCCCATTCTGTTGCGGACTGCTCCTGTCATACCTTGCTGTCCATATTTGCTCACAAAATAGCTGGTCAATATAAGACAGGAGCATCTTTCCTGTCCCAAAGCCAGCATAAAATCTGGCCTGAGACACACAGAATTAAAGCTTGCCTTCCAAACCTGACTTTTCCGTGTGAACTACAGGAAAGAAATTGATCTTGCAGATACGAGGATTTGTTTGCTTGCCGCCTGTCTCTGTCTAAATTGATCCTGAGACTGGTGATCCTCTGGGAGGAGGCAGTAGACTTATTGATTGCTTCTGTCCATTGCTCCAGAAGTTTAGTCCCTGAAAATGCATGTGTTTGAGGGGGGGAGGGGTGGGGGGAGAACTTTGAGGGTAAAGCATCAAAAACCCCAGAATGGTGAAGGAAAAAGGTAGCAGGGAAAAAAAGGCAGGGAGATTGGGGGTGGGACACGGACGGATGACACATGACTCTCCCAGATACTGCCCGGCTAACTGTTATCAGTGCCTTGAATATTGTAAGAAAACTCAAGAACAAACCCTGAATAACCCTTTGATCACAGCCATGTATGTGCAAAAGTGAGAAAGGATGTTATGGTGCATTATACAAACTGTACTTGGTGTTTCCTGTCCTCATGGTCATAATGAGCAAAACAAGGGGAAAAAAAACCCAAACAACCAAAACCAAAACCCCACACTAAATGTTTTCTTGAGGGAGCTACCTGCTCTGCCAAATTTCGATTAAAGGTGAGTTTTTATCTTTTCCAGGGTTTCCACCTCCAACCTACGTTGTCCCCCCTCCTGTGGCTTTCTCCATGAGCACGGGGTACACCTTCCCAGGTGGTGTTTCTGTCCCAGGAACCTTCCTCCAGCCCACAGCTCACTCGCCTGCAGGAAACCAGGTGCAAGGTGGGAAACAGTCCCACATTCCTTACAGCCAGCAACGGCCCTCTGGACCAGGGCCAATGACCCAGGGACCTCAGCAAACACCACCTCCTTCCCAGCAACCCCTCTCATCTTTACCAGCTCAGGCAACAGCACAGTCCGCAAGCCAGTTACAGGTCCAAGCTCTGGCCCAGCAGCAGCAGCAACAGTCCCCTACGAAAACTGTGCAGGGCCTGGGGAAGAGCCCGCCACACCACTCTGGATTCCAGCAGGTAAACTTGACTAATGCGATGTGCTAAGCTTTGTTTAAAAATAAATGGCAACATTCAAGACTTACATTCATGGATTACCTTTTCAAAACTGTCGTTAAAGACCTTAGTGTGGAATTTTGATCTGTGACCTTCTGGGCAAATTTGAAAAAGAGCTGAAGTTCAGTGGGTATGAATGTATGGTTCTGTAACTGAGGAAGGTATCTACTGGAACGGGAAGGTGGTAATCTGTTTTCTGTGTGCTTCTGTTTATAGGCAAGATATGAAGGTGATATTTCTGATCAGGTATTTCTGTCTTAGTCCTGTCTGGTTTTCTTGTCTGAGTAATGAGGACTGAGCCTGAACCTTCACCTGCACTCTCCTTTTGGGTAACTGGGTTGCAGTGTCAGTTCCCTCACAGCTCTTAGTTTTATGCTCACGTCGTGCTGGAGAAAATCTTTCTTCTGGCATGTCTGGACTCGATGGTGAGACCCTCCTGGTGTTCTGGGCAGCAAAATGCTGGCTCAGTGCCTTAGTAAAGGCGTTCATGAGGTACTGGATTAGCGTAAGGATTATACTGGGCTGTTGGTGTAAAGCTTGACTAGGGAGTATTAGATGCCTATGGAGACTGTGCATTTTCGTGAAAAACATAGCAAATCAGATTGTTTGTGGAATGTCTGTCACAAGTGAGCCAGACTGACAGTTTGAATGGAGTTAGGCATTCAGTTAATACTAATTGTTCCTACCTGCTGGTGAAAGTCATGTGTCTCTGCCTCAGTATCCGCAGACAGACTCATCAAAGCAGCTCTGGAACCCGCCTCAAGTCCAAGGCTCACTGGGGAAGATCATGCCTGTAAAGCCGTCCTATTACCTGCAGGCCCAGGACCCTCTAAAATTATTTGAACAGTCATTACAGCCTCCTGTGATGCAACAGCAACCTCTGGAGAAAAAAATGAAGCCTTTCCCAATGGAGCCATATAACCAGAACCCCTCAGAAGTCAAGGTGCCAGAATATTACTGGGACTCTTCCTATGGCATGGCTGACAACAGGGTGATGGCACAGCAGTCTAACATGGACCGGAGGGGAAAACGGCAAGGAGTCTTCCGCCCAGAGCAGGATGCTGTCTCCAGGATGACCTTTGAGGTAAAGATCCGTGCTATAAGTGGTGAAAACCAATGAGGCTCTGATATTCCTGACAACTCTAGAGCTTCCCTGTTTCAGGAACGCCCTGTAGCCCCAAGTAGGTCACTGTGAGCATATTTAGTAGGGAGCTGGGTATCAGTAAATGGGATTCCAGCAAACAGTGATGAATTCTCCATTTTAGTTGGCTGTGTGTGGGATCCGGCTCTTGAAGATTTGGTTTCAAGTCCGTGGTGTAAGTCCTTGTTCAGTGTAGATGTGACACTGATCTCTGCACTGTATCTGTCAGGTCGAGAAATGTGGCAGCTGATAGTTTTGGGGAAAATTCTTGTTTGGCAACTGATGAAAACCATAAAAGCCATCCAAATAATTGCAGTTGAATTATTACCCTTTAGATGAACTCTTAACACCCGTATAGTATCTTGCGTGTGTTGAATGGCTGAGGCTGCAATAGTCAGATTGAGGCTGGAAATGGAGGGTGGTAGGAGCAGTCTTGTCTTGGATTTTTTTTTTGTTTTTTTTTTTTTCCTGCAAATCCCACCATGCAGTGAGAGAGCTGAACAACTTCCTTAGCTCTTGGTTGCACTAATGGAATACTTTGCTTCTGTTCATGCAGTTGCGCTTCATGTTGCTGTCTATAAAACCTGCAATCTTTGTTATTTATTAACGGTCCTGGAGTTGTCTGTGAGTGCTTCTGGTGATGTTTATAAGGAAACTTGAACAGAGGCCTCTTTAAACCTTTGGTCAGATGTGCCTCTGTAGATGCACTCAGGATTTTCAGAAGGGCGGCTGAGAGCGCTTGGCGTATGCTTCAGAGAGAAAAGCCAGGCAATATACAGGAGTCTGCCTCTACCCTTGATGTCAAGTTGTGGTTTTTAGGTGGAGACGGGGTCAAATGCTTATTCTCATCCCTAAAAGGGAAACCTTGCCTTGGTGCAAGCACAGTGCAGTATGGACAGAAGCTGTGCCCGTGATGCTTGTGTTTTAAGCATCCCTCACAAAAGTCAAGATGTCCAGTTTAACCAGCACTTTGCAGGGTTTTTTGGCCCAGTGGTCTGGTCAGCTCTGTGTTGGCGTAGCAGCCATTAGCAGTGGAAATAAGCCTCATGGGATTTAAGCTCCGCAAATAGAGGAGGGAAGAAGATGCAAACATAATTTTACTTGAAACCTAAATTACTCACTGATCAGTTATAGAAGAATAATTGTAAGATTTTGTGTTCCTTTTCCTTGAATGCAAAAACAGGTTCAATATTTGGCATGGATGCAATGGGAAGCACACGCTCCACTAATTAAAACTAGCTGCCTATCATTTTGATGGTGTGGCGCTCCTCCCAGTACGTGTTAGGCCACGTGGCTAGTTATGTTTTCTGCTCAGCAATTTCTCTCTGTGTGCCTCGACACACTTCTGCTGCACCACTTTCTCACCTCGCACTCCTGCATGTCGCCTTCTGCCTTTCTTTTGTCGTTTTCTCTCATCCTGCTGTGGCTTAGCCTCTCCTCGCCATCTCTTGCTGTTCCCCTTCTGCCTTCTGTTGTCTCACTGTGCTCCTTTCTGTCACTAGGACCCCAAGAGCTCCCCTCTGCTTCCTCCGGACCTGTTAAAGAGTCTGGCTGCCTTGGAGGAGGAGGAAGAGCTGATTTTCTCTAATCCTCCTGATCTTTACCCAGCTCTGCTGGGGCCTCTCGCCTCTCTTCCTGGACGAAGCCTCTTTGTATGTATTTGATGTAATACTGCTGCTTCTCACTCTTAACTGGCATCTCTCTCTTCTGTGAAATTGTAAGAAATGTGAAATTCTTTTCTCTCCCCCATCCCTCCTGTCCACTTCCCTGCCTCACCCTTGAGCTAGTCTTCATGCGAGAGCTCAGACCAGCTGAAGGCCCGCAGCATAGCTCTTGGGCCGAATCCAGGCCTGCTAATTTGTTCAGAAATCAGAATAACAGTGGAGTTTTTTGTAAGTACAGTCCACAGGAGAGATGTTGACGCATCGTTTAATGCACTCACTTTTCTGCAGTTGTATGGGCTTAGTAATAAGGGCAAGGGGGAGCACAGTTTCAGCTGTGGGAAGTCATCAGAACAAGTATGGCTTATTATAATCTACATATAAAAATTACATAAAGACAGGGCGAAGCTCCCCTACTAAATGCAGGAGAGGCTGTAAAAGAGATGATGATCTTGGAAGAAAATTGTAAGCAACTGGCTAAATAATCGGTATCTCCTGTAGAAATACAGTTGTTTTTGACAGACAGAGACATTTCTTCTTACATTTGTGTATTAAAACCTTCCTAGTGCAATAGCTGGAGGGTCTTAGAGCTGCTGGATTTGTAAATTGCCTCTGAAAATGCAGTCTGCCTTTCTAGTATGGCTACAAGCATGTTCATTAAATACTACTATTTCAGATTGTAGCAGTAACAAAGAAGAGTTACTTGTGACTCTACTCAAAATCTCTGATTAAGTCTATTCCTTAGTTATTTTACATGCCATCCCAAGAAGCCAGTAGCAAAATAGACACCCATTTCTGTCTCATTAGATACCTTTGCTAAGAAACTAATAGCTGCTTCTTCAGCAGCTTCCTTTGAAGCTCTTAGAGTTGCTGTCTGCTGACAAATGGAAGGAAATTCCTCTCTGTGCAAGCTGTGTGGATATGCAGAGTGTGAATTTTGTCTGCCTTTTAAAATGTGCTTTCAAAGTAATGAGTTGTCACTTTGAAAATCTAACAAGCTAGGAGCTGCTTGCCAAGAAAATGAGGCTATTTGTCTTAGGTTTACAGGATAACAGCAAAGATATTCCAGATATTGGGGCCACGTTAAAGAGGGGGATGCTAGTTCAGGTTTTTGTTGTTTGAACAATAAATTTAAAAACATCTGACATGCTGGGCTGGTATGAGTGTAAGGCGGCTTTTATTTGGAACAAGACTGCAGCTTTCATTTTGGATCACACAGTTTTACTTACGGCTTCACTAATTCTATGGCTTGGTGATCCTGATCCTAAATTTGGTGGTGTTCATTGTCCATCAGCTGAGCTTTATAATTTTTCTTTGGTTTCTGTATCGATGATAACTGATCCTATTTCTTCCCTAAATAGGCTTGTTTCAGAGACAGTATTTTTCATTGCTCAGTCATAGTAAGAACCAAAGAGAAAGCTGAGAAATATGCTGGAAATAACAGCTGTATGAGAGGGGGTGGCGTAGATGATGGAAAAGGTCATGGCCCGTAATATCTTAACGTGGAACCCCAGGGGGGTTTTGGAACCTCTGTTTTAAACACTGGTGTGTTGGTTTTTTTTTTCTTCCTCTCTACAGTCATTTATAATGAAAATGAGAGAGCACTAAATGAAACTTGGACTGTTTAAACAGATTAAAAAATCACAGCACTTGGCTGCTCTTGCTGTCTAAGAATGTCTGTACAGCAGGGATGCTCTCAAAACTGAAAAATATTCTGTCAGTAGCAACGTACAAGAGTCTAGTCATGTTTGAAGGAGTCCTCTGATTACTGAAAAGGATCCTGTCTCATTTGTTCAAGGTTTTACACAACCATAGGGTTTTTTTGGCAGAAATTTCCCCCTAGATGTATCGGACAGAGTATTACACTTATGATTTGAAAAGCTGTTCTGATAGCGGGGCTTGCCTGAGACTCTCAGCTGTCGTGATTGTGGATTTTTAGGTATTAATTACAGTTAGTAGGGAAACTACTGATTTTCTGCATTTGTTAGTTTGCTCCCCCTGTCCTCCAAGGTGCTGAAGCTAAAATAGAAGCAAGGTTTTAAATGTGACCAAAACCACCTTGGCAGTTTCTGATAGCATACTTTCCTCCTGCTCACTACACTGAACACTAATGGCTCTTTTTCCCTTTTTGCTTTCTGAAGAAGTCCCTGCTGGAAAAACCATCAGAATTGATGTCTCAGTCGTCGTCTTTCCTGTCCCTCGGTGGCTTTTCTCTTAATCAGGTAAGTGAGGACCCGAGTCTGCTGCCCTTTGCTGTTTGAGCTTGCCATTAAACTAGGTAACATGGCAGAAGTATGGGGATATCCTTTAGTTCAAACCAGTGGAAAACCTGAAAGAAATCTATATGGGTGATTAATTTCAGTCTGTATCAGCAAGATTATCTTTGCCTTTATCAGTTGTCTTCCCAAAGTCACCCTAGCTATAGTTCCGCAGGCATACTGTTCAATCTTGCTGAGTTCATGGGCCCCTTGCTCTTAGTAGAATCATGGAGTTGACTCAAAAGGTGCATCTCAAAGTGTTACGGTGTGTAGGTTTTTATTTCCTGAGCAATGGATTACCCATTCTCTTCCAGAGAACTGAGCAGGGTTTTGATACAATTTTTGTGAGTACTGGGAATTTAAAGATTTTTGTGAAGGCTTTGCAGTCCAACCAGGAGAAACCTGTCCTGATTCAGAAGGTGTATGTTAAATAAATTGGTCAAAGAGGAGGAGGCTCAGGGGTGAAAAAGGAGTTAGGAAAATATTCTGATCTATAATTGTTTCCTTTGTACAGTCTTGCTGTTTGAAATAAATCCAGTACCTAAACTCTTACATTCTTTTTTTGCAGGAAAGATATCCAAATAACAGCATGTTCAATGAGGTATATGGGAAGAACATGAATACCAGCACAAAAACAGAAGTCACCCCTTCAGTTGCCCATCAGGAGACTTCACTATATTCTCTCTTTGAAGGGACTCCGTGGTCTCCATCCCTTCCAGCCAGCTCAGGTAATCCTGGTATGGTTTTTCTTGTGTCTACTGATTTAAGAGGATTTGAGTTAATTCTGAACCTACTGCAAGTTAAATGTAACTGAAAATTAAAAAAAAATACCTGCTTGACAAGGTGTCTGAAGGTTTCTGTTTGTTTTTCTCCATATATCCTCAGAAATTATGAGGGGATTCTGTAATTAATATAGCATAAGAACCTGGATTTTCATTGAAGTAGTTGAGCAGGATGAAAGTTGTAGGAGGTGTGAAATCCTGAAATCTCTTTAACTTAGATTCCTGACAAGCATTTGGGAGTAGGGCTTTAACTCAAACATCTGTATACTTTGTGTTGCTTCTTTGGAAAAAGCAGGAAGAACTGGATTTCATATCGTAGATATTTGAAAGAGAAAGAAACTATATGACTGAAGAGCGTAGAGGAAAATATGACAGTGGGTTTTTTGGTGTTTTGTTTTTTGTGGTTTTTTTTTGTTTTGTTTTTTTTTTTACTGTTAAGCAGCCTACAAAGCAAACCAGCTTTTTCCTTAGTACCATAACTATTATTTCATTATTTTATTCTCACTAAAAATCCAGAAGAGCATGAGGGGAGGAATTAGTTGAATCTAAGAAATGAGTGGATTTTAAATAAATATATCCTCAGAAATTATGAGGGGATTCTGTAATTAATATAGCATAAGAACCTGGATTTTCATTGAAGTAGTTGAGCAGGATGAAAGTTGTAGGAGGTGTGAAATCCTGAAATCTCTTTAACTTAGATTCCTGACAAGCATTTGGGAGTAGGGCTTTAACTCAAACATCTGTATACTTTGTGTTGCTTCTTTGGAAAAAGCAGGAAGAACTGGATTTCATATCGTAGATATTTGAAAGAGAAAGAAACTATATGACTGAAGAGCGTAGAGGAAAATATGACAGTGGGTTTTTTGGTGTTTTGTTTTTTGTGGTTTTTTTTTGTTTTGTTTTTTTTTTTACTGTTAAGCAGCCTACAAAGCAAACCAGCTTTTTCCTTAGTAATTATCTTAAAGGCATAAACCATAACTATTATTTCATTATTTTATTCTCACTAAAAATCCAGAAGAGCATGAGGGGAGGAATTAGTTGAATCTAAGAAATGAGTGGATTTTAAATAACATCTGCACTGGATGAGATTTTTGGTTGCGCTGAGACTTTTGCAACCAACCAGGAATAACCATTGTGGGTGAAACGGAAGGAGTTGCAAAGTGCTTTTATTCTAGCAGGATTTATGGCTCACATGGTTTCAGCTTTCTCTCCCTTCGCCTTTTCATTCAAGACCGCATAGTCTCCTGCCACCCTGCTATGCTTTGTTGTCTTCAGGCATTGTTCTCCTTCCTGCAGATAGGCTTTTTGATGCTTGCTCTCCTCTTTTGCTCAGTACTGGATTCTGGTCTGAATTGCTTTAAGAGTCATAGAAGAGTAAAACATTCACAGACTTGGGGGTTCGACTTGTAAACTTGCAAACTCCTCAAGGTCTAATGTCATTTTTTTATTGGTTTGTCAAGCTTGGAGACAGATTTTTGTTTTTCTAGTTTGAGAAAAGTTCTTCAAGAAACGTGGGGAAAACTCACTTTGGCTAGCCTTGAGGTTTCCTGGTTTTTGGTTTTTCTAGTAAGCACGTGTGTGCATTAAACACAGTCATTCTGTTCTTGTATATGCACAAAAATTTTCACATGGAACTTAGGAATTTGCATTACACTTGCATAATGGAGGGAATAAAAACTCACCTTCAGCACTGGAGAAACCTGGGTGATGGCAGAATTTGCAGCAGCACTAAGAAATTCAAAATTGGGAGGCTCCTGCTGTTTCTGTTGACCTTTTTCCTCTTGCCTTGTAATCACTAGATCATTCGACACCAGCCAGCCAGTCTCCTCACTCCTCCAACCCCAGCAGCTTGCCAAGCTCCCCTCCAACCCATAACCACAATTCTGTTCCTTTCTCCAACTTCGGACCCATTGGGACTCCAGACAACAGAGACAGGAGAGTCGCAGACCGCTGGAAAACAGATAAGCCAGGCAAGTGCTGGGTTCCAGGCTTGCGTGAAGCCAGCTGATGGTGTTTGTTTTGCAGTGGTTTTGCTACATTCCTTTGAACTTGTCTTCCTCCTGTTTTAGCAATGGGAGGGTTTGGTCTGGACTATCTCCCAGCAACATCGTCGTCTTCGGAGAGCAGCTGGCACCAGTCCAGCGCTCCCAGTGGCACCTGGGCAGCCCAAGGCCCTCCCACGATGGAGGACTCCTCAGCTGTGCTTATGGAGAGCCTGAAGGTATGTTTGACTGGAACTGTGCTCAGGAATGGGTGCTTGTCTCTGGGGCCAGAAGACCCGGTGATGGGCGTTAGCCTATTGCAAGTGTCAGAGTTCAGTGTCAGAAACCGGAAGTTTTTCCTGCAGATCCACTTACGCAGGCAATGTGGGAGGTGTGACCAGTGCTGGAAGGTGTCACGGTTTTCCAGTTCTTGCTGTTCTAGAATATTTTGCGGAACAAGACCAGGCTGGCAGAACTGGAAGGAATTACATCATTTGCTTTGACTAGTCTAAAACTAGTAATCATTAATGTGGGATGAATTTTTATGGTAATGAGGATTCTGGAGGAGGAGAAGCTTCTTCCAGGGAGCCTCTCTTTAGAAGGCCTTCTTTGAAGTCTGGATAACTTTCACGATAAGCCAGGTATGAGTGATAAAGGGAAGAGGGAGAATATAGAAAACTGTCTCTGCTTTCTCATCTGTAAGAGAGGGGCTGTCTAACGCAAAGAGATGCTAGTGTTGGCTGTTTGTTTTTAGTCCATCTGGTCCAGTTCCATGATGCACCCTGGACCCTCAGCCCTGGAGCAGCTGTTAATGCAGCAGAAGCAGAAGCAGCAACGCGGACAAGGCACCATGAACCCACCTCACTGAGACAGAGGTGGCAACCCTTGCAAACGAAGGCTCCATAAACCATGGCATGTTGGGTTTGCAGGACTGGCCCACACAGTCCTGTGCAGGTGGCAGCCCTCTCTTCTGTTCCTTGCTGTCAGGAGGGCGTAAGTGCTCCACCAAACCACTGAGTGTGCACAAAACGTCTGCAGTGCAAGAAAACAACATCAGGAACTCTCCCTTCCCTGGGCCCTCTGGAGGGAGAGAGGAACTGCTGTTTGGCTCACTCAGTAACCCGATATCACCGCCTCTCACCTTCTCCATCGTGCATGTCCCCAGCCACATGGGAAGTAAAAGCTGAGAATGAAGGGCAGATGGGAGAAGCCAATGAGAACTTCTCAATCCTTTTCCTCTCTTTGGGGAGATAAAATAGGAATCCATTAATGATTGCTTTGCTGACTGAGAATGTAGTTGAAATTACTCCTAAACATCTTTATTACTATCTCAGTAGTAAGATCACACTGAATTCTTCCGTACACAGACGTGCTTCGTAGTCAGTGTGTAGCAGTGAAAGCCCCAGTTGCTGCTCCGGTCAGAGGTGGTTGGTGGTGAGGTGGGGCTCTATCTCCTGGGCTAGCGAAGGAGTTTCATGAAGGAGAGTCTGGCACTTGATACCACTTCACCTTTCACCCAAAGGCTTTGGCCAGCCCACGGGTGGGTTAGAGACTCCAGCATGAAATGCCCTCCTCTCAGTAGGTGTTTGAGCTATAATCGGGTGACGTGGGGCATTGCAGCACTCTGCTGGACAAGCAAGTTAACTGCTATGGGGTTTTAAATTAATGTTTGATTCCTGTACATTTTACTGTAGCATAGTGGCTAGCCCCACAAAGGGCAGGCTAGTCTGTGCATTCACAGCCTGACTCATTTTAATAGGTAGGTAGAAAGCTTTCAATGGTTTTTGTTTGGTTTTTTTTTTTCCCCTTTCTCTCTCCATCCTCCCATCTTTGCTGGACGCTAGTAGTTTCATTACCAACGTGCAACATCTCGCAGAAAATAATCAGGGGTCCAGCAGGGCTGGGTAAAGCCGACAGTCAGCCTGGACAGTGCGGAGTGTACGCACCCCCGCAGGCACACATCAGCTCTGCAGAAACCCGTCCCCCCCTGCGCCCCCTGCCCCCAGCTGCAGCCCCAAGCTTTCAGTTCCAGAATGAAATTCAAGGCACCCTTGGACACACGTGTGTAACAGACACACGGAAGAAAGCATAGTGCTGTTCGTAGATGAAAAGGTGCGGAAGGGAAAAGGAAAACGTTTTATTTGCTATTTATTAGGGGGAAGGAAGACTGGAAGCTTCGTTAAAGAAAGGACAGCATTTTTGTTAGGTTTCCCAGGGAAGTTATGGAAACAATCTCAATGTCCATTTGCTGTGTTTAGCAGTAGGGGTTTGTGTGATGATTCAGGATCTCTGAGCTGGAAGTCAGCTGCAGAGCAAAGCACATGCAGGAGCCGAAGTGACACTGGAGTCTGGGCAGCCCCAAAGAATACAAAAAGGGAAGACGGAGGAGACACGATACCTCTCCGGGGGGTATGAGCAGCACCCCCACGATCTCCACCTTAGCAACATCACTGTTCTTTGTTGCATTTTGAAGCTGTATTTCCTTTAAAGAGTCCAAAAAGTGAAGTTCCCACCCAGTGGTCATATGAACCAAACCCCTCTGTACTTCCCTCCGGCCCTCCCGGTTTGTGTATCGAGCTGTGCACCCAGGCAGCTGCGACATTCCAGTGTTTGAACCGTCACTGACTCTTGCACCCTAGACGAGCTAACCAGGTTCGCCATCTCACTCCCGGCAGTGCCAGGGTCCCAGCCACACCGTTCCACTTGTGCATGAGCATCCAGCCTCGGGAATGCATCCGGCTCTCGGCTGGGACTCCCCTCCCGCCCTCCGACGCCTGGGGGAGCGAGGGAAGGGGCCCCCAACAGAAACTGGTTTGTGTCGTAAGCTTTTTTTGTGTTTTTTGTCTGTCTGTGCAAGAACTGCAGCTGCTGAAATCAGCTTTGCCTTTAATTAAACCATGTTCTCTCCATCCAGGTCTGTGTGTAGCATTTATTTCCTGTGTAACTTGGCTACAGGCTTTTAAAAATGCGTTATTTTTCTGAAGAAGTCAGAAGAAGGTTTGAAGTTGATTTTTTTTTTTTTCCTATTTGAAAGAGAACTAAATAAATCGCAGAGACTCTGGCTTGGGCTCAGTGCAGATAATTGGATCGTGGTTTTGTGCTGCCTGTGTGCAATGCGTTTTACCTACCAAACCAAAAAGATGGGATGGGAGTAGCTTGCAAAGCTCTTCTTCAGTTGCAGGCTGAACCTGGCAGAGCACAGGCAGTGGGAGCTGGAGGACACAGGTCCTTCTGCTGTTGACCTGCCTACAGATCGGGACGTTGGCTGTTTGCAGCCAGTTTTTAAACAGCATACTTCCAAATGCGTCAAAGGAAACTACAGAGATGTTCTGTTTTTGAAATGAGAGGCTTTCATTGTATCCAGGCAACTCCTCAGAATAAGTTCCTTTAAAAATAACTATGATATTTAGGTTATTGGGACAGTGGGGCTGTCCAGAACTTGTGTGATAGGATCCGAAGTGGGGAAACTGCTGCCCTTAGCACCTTCAAAGCAAAGTGCTCCCAATGCTGTAGGTGGCTGGCTGTATCTACAGCTTGTGTGTTTTGAGGATGGGGCAGGGTAGATAATTTTAAAATGCCAGAAGGACCGGCTCTCAGCAGCCGGGGAAGGTGAAATACTGTGAAAGTAGCGCCAAGGGCAGAGGAGGGCAAACCTCTTGGACAGGGAAGAGGGCATCCAAGTTGTATAGGCTTTTATAAAGGGGACAACTTTGCTGCTGTATGACCTGCTGAGGCTCCAGGCGGTGTCCTTCTAAGTTACTGTCTCTTCTGACTGCTGAGAAAAAGCTTTGAGGTATGACTCCCAAAGGTGAACAAAACGTTTATACTTTGGGGGTGGGGTGGGTAAAGTCACCGTGGTTTTGAAGTGAATTGTCAGTTGGAGCAGGGTGAGGCTGCACGGTATCTCTTGTTTAAGCTCTTGGGGTTGGCAGTGATGTTTTAAGGAGGCAAATGCTGTTGGAAGTTCAGCCTTTCCTGGGCCGGAGCTTCTTGAATGCCAGTTCCTCTTCTGGCTCTGTTGGCAGGGCTGTAAATGCAAGTAGCACCACCTTCTCAGGGGTTTTCCCAGCTGCTGGCATGTCTGTAGAAGAGCTTTGTTAAGGGTAGGGCAGGTGGGACAGAGCAAGGCTCTCGGTAAGCACAGTTTTTAGGACTGAATGTACTCCTAACAGGAAGACAATTAGCAACTTTTTAATAAGTACCTGTTTTAGAGAACAATGCAAAAAGTAAAATAAAAACCAAAGCTTTTAATACAAGCAGCAATAATATTTAAAGTTCATTTTCAGATGCAGTGATTAATATGGAGACTTCTTAATTGCAACAGTTGAATTCTTAATTTCTTTCCACATCCATGACTTTAAACTCTTCTGAAATCACATCTCCGGGTCTTTAGTGTTAGACTTTTGAACGAAAGCGGATGGGAAGATGCCTATCTTCCCATTGCACTGGCCTTCTAACCAGTCTTCATTCACTGGAAGATAAAATCGACACAGTTTTTGTCACCCTGGGGATATACAGGAGCATAATAACCTCCGCGTGCTACAGACAGGCCCGAGGTCACCATTTCAGGGTTTTCTGCTGGTAAACCTTTTAGCCATGCTAAAGCCTGGCAGAGAGAGGAATGTGGAGGAAAGGGGCTGAGGAGGAATGAGGTAGAGAGCAAAGCCGTAAGGTAAGAGCGAACGCATTGCCAAATGAAGGTGGGAAAAGTAGATCAAAACAGAGACCAAGGGGCTTAGAAACTGCCTTGAATAGAAGACAACCAAAGTGAGCGTGGAGAGCAAGGAAATGATCTCAGACAGGCTGTCCTCTTCAAGATGCCAACTAAAGTGTATTTTCATCTGCTCTTCCATGTTCATATAAAAAAAAAAAAAAAATCCAAAAGCCTCTGCTACCCTGGGTTGAGTAAAGGTTCGGAGCTCTGAAAGCTCTTGCTGTGAGGAACCAAATGAGGTGAGAACCAACTTCTTAATGGGAAATATTTAGCTCAGCAGTGAAGGGTGGAGTAGGATTGGGGGGGGAGGAGTCATCAATGTTGCATGGTGCAAAAGCTCGCCTCTACAGCGGTGGAGGGGGGGGGACTATGATCGCTTGCGTACCGCTGCCGAAGCCTGCCAGCCGGCACGAATTAGTGATAGAGCTACATATAGCAAAGTATCAGAATTTGTCCTCCCTCCTGTGCGTTTTGCACAGACTTGAAAGGATCCAGCTCAAAAACATGTACTACATCTTGCTGAGATTTAGTCTGTATTTAAGCCTCAATTCTCATAGAAGCACTAATAAAGACTAATATTAAAGAGGATTGAGGCTAATGCAAGATTGTACCCTTAAAAAGAAAAGCAGCCAGAAGAAGGTGCCAGGTGAGGGGAATGGGAGTAAGAGCATTCTCCCATTGCGGGGGTGGCAGCCAAAATGAGGCATCTCCTTTAAAAAACAAACTGTGATCAGTGAAGTTAAACACAGTCTAGTGAAACTCTCCCATCTTGAAACTGTTTGGGGAAGGAGGTGGCAGAAACAAGAGTGTGATGAAAATATGTTGGAAGAAGTGTGTATAACACCGGGACTTGGGTGGGGAGCCCATGGTAGAGCTGGAGGAGCTCTGCCTGTGCTACAGCACACAAGGCGGTTGCGGTGGAAGAAGGCACTTGTGGAAAGCAGTCTTGCAGATGTTGGGTCCTGCTTGTCTTGTGGCTCCAGAGAATTGGCTAGTAAGCTGAAAAGCCTGTGGTTAGTCAGGAGCATGTAAAGCAGAGGCTGGAAACGCTGCAGTAGGTTGGACTTTTTTTTTTTTTTTTTTTTGTGTCCTTCATGGGGATGGAGTGAATTTGCCCTTTGAATCCAGAAACTGGAAGCTCAGTGATGCAGCTCTTAGTGATGCAAAGGAAAGCAACTCTCGTATGTGTCCTTAGGTTGTCCTTTCCCCTGGCTTCCACCTGCCACCTCATGCTCATCCAATCTCTGCAAGCTTCTTTTCCAACCTGTCTTGTAAAGTGTTTGCATTCAAGGCAAGCTTTCCTGGAGAGCCCTGTGGCAGAAATCCGAGTAGCCTATTTTCTGTCTAAAGGTGGCAAACTGCAACTCGCAGGAGAAGTTTGCTATA